GTTTAGGGTTTAGGGTTTAGGGTTTACGGTTTAGGGTTTAGGGTTTAGGGTTTAACGGATCTGAGTTGGGAGTTTGGGAATGAGCAAACTCTTCTATACCCAAGAGTAACCGAGGAACAAAAAGGGTGGCCTTTTGTTGGTTCTAAAGGGCAGAATCATAAGGGAACCCAAACCCTAAACCCTAAACCCTAAACCCCGAAACCCCTAAACCCTAAACCCTAAACTCTACATCAAAAAACAAGGAACAAGGGCCTACTCTGGGTCCTAGCCATATGTTAATCCCTGTTCCCCTAGGAAGAAAAAAGGATCCTTTTTGTTTATATATAAGAAAGCCCATAACCCAAAAAGTAAAAAGGATCCCTAACACTGATTTAGATATACAAGTGCCACACTCCCTAGAAAGAACTGGGAAGCTACAGACTCCTCTGTACAGAACAGGGTTCTAGGGTGGAGACTCGTGTAGGATTTAGGGTTTAGGGTTTAGGGTTTAGGGTTTAGGGTTTAGGGTTGAGGGTTGAGGGTTGAGGGTTTAGGGTTTAGGGTTTAGGGTTTAGGGGTTTTTGCAGGTCCTGGAGATCCTTGTGTTGGGGAGGCACCTCCCCCTACCCACTCCCACCCCCGTACCTTGAGATCCGAGGCTTACGGGACTAGGGTCCATAGGGCTTTGTGATTCTAAAACCCTAAACCCCTAAACCCCTAAACTCCTAAACCCCTTAACCCCTAACCCTAAACCCTGAACCCTACACCCTTTATAAAATCAAAAATAAGGGCTTAGGGCATCGCCACTTTTGTTGCTCGCAGCGTGCGGCTGGGCCAAGCCAGGTGCGAACACAAACCTTCTGAGGGTTTAGGGTTTAGGGTTTAGGGTTTAGGGTTTAGGGTTTAGGGTTTAGGGTTTAGGGTTTAGGGTTTAGGGTTTAGGGTTTAGGGTTTAGGGCGAGTGGTCTGCTATATAAGGGGTTTAGGGCTTTTAGGGCTTCAGGGAGCTTAGGGCTTTTAGGGTTTGGGGTTTGGGAATTATGCGTTTAGGGTTTAGGGTTTAGGGCTTAGGGTTTAGGGTTTAGGGTTTAGGGTTTAGGGCCCCTTTAAACTCCTATGTTAAACTGCAGAGTCAGGGGTTCTCATGGCAGCCAGAAACGGGTTCGGGGCTAGGGGTTCGGGGTTCAGGGTCTAGGTCTAGGGTGTATAGGGTTTAGAGAACTAAACAATAAACCCTAAACCCTAAACCCTCAAATTGCCTGACAGTTGGGGGTGTGCCGAGAAAGGGCGTGGATTGCGATCTCCCCGAACTTGCGGCTTTGGGCCCAGCGGAGGGTGCACGTAAGACGATTTAGGGTTTAGAGTTTAGAGTTTAGGGTTTAGGCTTAGGGTTTAGGGTTTAGGGTTTAGGGTTTAGGGTTTAGGGTTTAGGGTTTAGGGTTTAGGGTTTAGGGTTTAGGGTTATTGTTTAGGGTTTAGGGTTTAGGGTTTAGGGTTCGTTCCTCCCTGGTCATGGATCAAAGTGCCGAAGTCAGCTGCCACTCAGTACTCCTGCACTGAAGGCCTGGACAGTTTGGGGGAGCTTGGCTTCAGACCGGCCATTCGAGTGCAAACTGCCGGAATACCCAGAACCCTCCCCCTCCCCTCCATATAACCTCCCTAAACCCTAAACCCTAAACCCTAAACCCTAAACCCTAAACCCTAAGCCCTAAACTGGCCCTCAACCCTCAGCCCTGAACCCTGCGGTTTGGGGGCCCGCAGGCCGTCGCAACGCGCGGTTTGGGATCCTCCGGTTGACACAACACTACAAGAGAGAACTTACGAAGAAGCCAATCGGGTTTAGGGTCTAGGGTTTAGGGTTTAGGGTTTAGGGTTTAGGGCTTAGGGCTTAGGGTCCAACCAAGCAACCTGCACATTGATAAACAGAATCACAGAACTGAGTCCATGAGCTGTTGGGCGGCTAAGCGTTTTCAGTCCCCAACTGATCATTGACAGCGGCAACACTCTGTTAAACCCCAAGACTTAAAACCCTAAACCCTAAACCCTAAACCCTAAACCCTAAACCCTTTGTTGAACCCCAAGACCTAAATCCTAAACCCTAAACCCTAACCCCAAACGGGCTTTCAGGGCTTCGAGTTCAAAAGCCTTCGGATGCTCCTGCCCCTAAACCCTAAACCCTAAACCCTAAACCCTAAACCCTAAACCCTAAACCCTAAACCCTAAACCCTAAACCCTAAACCCTAAACCCTAAGGGGCCTGGAGGTGTCTAGCTTCCTAAGCCCGAAGTCCTACACCCGAAGCCCCCAAAAATGAGCCCAAACACCCCGAAGCCACTTCTACCCTCCTGGAGAGGGTTTTAGGGTTTAGGGTTTAGGGTTTAGGGTTTAGGGTTTTCCCCCCCCCATGCCCCCAAAAAACCTTGGCATCTACACTTAAGCCGTCCCCGGCAGCTGCTGTCTGCCAGGCGTCATGCTGCCAGCGATGTGGGAAATCCTCCCAGAAACGTTTAGAGTTTAGGGTTAGGGTTTAGGGTTTAGGGTTTAGGGTTTAGGGTTTAGGGTTCAGGGTTTAGGGTTTAGGGCCCAGGATTTAGGGTTCGGGTTTGGGAACCTGCAAAGCATGGACACAGCGAAAGCAGCCCCCCCGGCGTGCAAACCCTAAACCTTAAGCCCCTAACCTCTTAACCCCTAAACCCTAAACCCTAAAGCCTAAACCCTAAACCCTAAACCCTAAACCCTAAACCCTAACCCCTAAACCCCTAACCCCCCAACCCCGAACCCACTTTAAGCTCCGCTCAAAGAGCCCTCCGCTGCAACATGGGATGCTCCGGGGCTTGCTGATCCTGACACCCTAAACCCTAAACCCTAAACCAGGGTTCAGGGCTAATGGTTTTCGGATCATGCTTTTTTGGAAAGGTGGATGGGCGGCATCCCTACCAAAAGGTCATGCAACACCCGAAGCCTTCACATCGTGGCCACATGGCCAAAAACTTAACGTTTAGGTACCTCATTAATCCGAAAAAAGACAAAGGAATTCAAAGGGTACAGCAAAGAACCGCAAGGATATGGGGAGTTAATCCGAGACTATGGGCGATTTCCGGTTGCTAACCTATACGGGACATGCTGCAATAGACCCCCTTCTGATGAAGCGCGCAAATGGGACCCAAACTGAAAAAACAGATAGTCAGACACTCAGCAGGTCAGACACGCAGACGCTCCAGATCTACTTACAGTCCAGAACATTGAATGTCTGACCGTCTGACAATCTGAGTTTTCTACGTGTCTGAGTGTCTGAACGTCTGTGTATTCCAAGTGTCTGAATGTCTCAATGCCTGATGCTCCGACTGTATGAGCTTTCTGGGTGTCTGTGGTCTGACTGCCTGACCCACTGACTGTTTGGGAATATCTAAGACCCTGAATGGCTCAATGTTTGAGTTCTCTGAGCGTTTGAGTGTCTGAGTGTCTGAGGGTCAGACTGCCTGAGTGTCTACTTTGCGGTGAACTGATATCCTAAACCCTAAACCCTAAACTTTAAACCCAAAACCCTAAACCCTCGAATCCCCAGCCCATGCTCTGGCCTCTGGCAAGTCTTCGTCCTCGTCTTCGTCCTCGTCTTCGTCCGTGCCGAGTCCATAGGTCGTAATCCGATCTGGGGAAGTCTGTAACACCCCCCCTAAACCCTAAACCCTAAACCCTAAAGCCTAAACCCTAAACCCTAAACCCTAAACTCTCGGGCTTGTGATTTAGGGTTTGGGGTATAGGGTTTAGGGTTTGGCCTACTACAACCCTTAACCCTAAGCCACACAGGGTTTAGGGCTCAGGGCTACTAAAACCTCAAGCAACCCTAGGGTTTAGGAATTAGGGTTTATGGTTTCGGTCTACCAAAACCTTCAACCCTCAACCCAACGAAACCCTAAACCCTAAACCCTAAAACCTAAACCCCCAAGCCTAAACCCTAAACCCTAAACCCTAAACCCCAGGAGATGGCACTGCGAGTCTCGAGCCTGACAGTTTCGACTGAAATTCGCGGAGGTCCTCCTCGCTGGCCATGCGGCCCTTAGGTTTCAGAGTTTAGGGTTTAGGGTTAGGATTTAGAGTGGAGGGTATTTAGGGTTTAGGGCTTAGGGTTTAGGGTATAGGGTTCAGGGCTTAGGGTTTAGGGTGTAGGAACGCAAAACCTACTTTTTTGTAGGTTTTGACTACAAAGCCCTCTGTGGAATTCTTAGGTAACATACAAAGAAGCTAGGGCTTAGGGTTTAGGGTTTAGGGATTTCTTGGGTTTGTGACGAATCTTGCTCGGTCGCCCAGAAGCCCAGGATTAAAGGGAGCCATTTTTGTTGCATATATAGAGGTTTATAAGGGAACCTAAACCCCCCTAAACCCCCCTAAACCCTAAACCCTAAACCCTGAACCCTAAACCCCCCCCCCCCCCAAAGCAAAAAAAACAATAAAAAAAAAAAAAAAAATATATATATATATATATAGAAGAATAAGGGTACTACTGGGCATCTGGGCTGTGACTGTTGCCCGGAAAATAGCTTAGGGCTTCGGCATGTGAAGGTCGTCAGGACTTGAGCTTAGAGTTTCCAGAAATGTCAGACGTTTAGGGTTTCGGGTTTAGGGTTGTTTAGGGTTTAGGTTTTAGGGTCTTACAAACATCGCGTCGTCGTGTTCAACCAACCCATCCACCACAACGCAAAAGCAAGCTCTTGTCGCAGAGTTGCTCCCCGCCGAAAGCCTAAACCCAAGCCGATACTTACACGCGCGTTTGCAAAACGGAGGGCGCTCGCAGGCAATGATCTGTCAGCTGGAGATGTGCTCAAGTTTCGAGCCCAGGGTTGGGGGCCTCAGGGTTCGATGATGAGGGTATGCAGTGCTTCGCTCAAGCTTTTTGCCTATAGGGCTTGAGGTTTAATTACGGTTTAGGGGAAAATGACCACCACCGCCGAGCTTCTCGAAAGTGTGCGGACGGGTTCCACGCACAGCGGATGGTGCGGCAGCATACTTTGAGCAGTTTGCCATCTACCTTGGCGTCACTGGCACCCTACTTTGGAGAACGAGGCCTTCGTTGCCCTAAACCCTAAGGCTCCAATTATGCAAATAATACCTACATTGGGGTCGAAAACCTAAACCCTAAACCCTAAAGTCTGCAAACAATACCTACTGTGGGCTATCTGGAGCCTTAGGGAAACCCCTAAACCCTAAACCCTAAACCCCAGAGCCCAAATCTCACAACCCTAAAGTCCTACCTTGTATCCCCACCAGAACCCGTGGCAGCCACGGACAGATGATCCTACAATTTGGGTTAGGGTTTGGGGTTTGGGTTTAGGGTTTAGGGTTCCAGCAGACCAAGCAGCCCTGACACCTACATCTGAGGCCGGCGCGAGATGGTTTAGGGTTTAGGGTTGAGGGGTTCTCCTTCCCGTCACGCAGGAGTTTCTGAGAATGCGAAACCGTCGGGAACCTATGCAAAAACTGGAGCTGATGGACGCTTCACCAATCACTGGGAGGAGGGCCTTCTTGCACCCAAGCCTGAACCACCCTAAAACATAAACCCTGGGCAAGTGGATGCAACTTTGCGCTTGCGCCTCAGGCTATTAAATCTACGTTCATGTGTGGCTGTTCTAAAGTAGCGTCCCATGAAGGTTGAGAGTTTGGAGCTTAGGCTTGAACAAAAACCGTGCGCTCAGGACTCCGGCGAGAGGACCGCACCCTAAACCCTGCGAACTGTAAACCCTAAACCCTCAGCCCTAAACCCATAAACCCTGCAAACCCTAAACCCTCAACCCTAAACCCATAAACCCTAAACCCTCAACCCTAAACCCATAAACCCTGCAACCCTAAACCCGGCTGCGCCGAGGTGCCATTTGCTTGGCGACCTTGTTGAATCCCTTGCCTGCACTCGGTGGAGAGGGGAGGGGTTCGGAACACCAAGAGCCCTAAACCTAAACCCTGAAGGTTTAGGGTTTGGAATTTAGGGTTCAGCGTTGAACACCCTCAACCCTGAACCCTAGATCTTGGATTAGATGGGCGCAAAGCTAACAGACTAAGGCTCATGCAAGGGTCAGGTCGTTCGCTGGCCTCTTGTTGAACCCCTAAACCCTACACCCTAAACCCTAAACCCGAAACCCGAAACCCTAAACCCGAAACCCTAAACCCTAAACCCTAAACCCAACCTAAGGAGTGTCGTTTTAGGGGCCCAAGCTTTGAGTCACTCGCACTCTACACGCAAGAAGCCCTGAAGCCTACACTCTAGGTGTTCTACCCTTGGACCCTAAAGGTTGTACCCTCAGGCTTGGAAGGGGCCCTCCTTAAGGCCCTTAAGGCTATACTCCCCTTAGAACTAGGGTTTAGGGTTTAGGGTTTAGGGTTTAGGGTTTAAGGTTTAGTTGGTTGGGTCTGCTTTCAGGCGCAGCGTCTACTTGTCGTTAGTTACCCTAAGCCCTATAAGCCCTAAACCCCATAAACCCCCCTGCATCCGTCCATCTGCCTGTCGCATTGCACGCAGAGGACCGAGCGGCGTCTTTACCGTTCGCAGTGGTCACACTAAACCCTAAACCCTAAACCCTAAACCCTAATCGTCTAGTTGTTGATCTTCCACAGTGCTTTAGGATTCAGGGCTTAGGGTTTTTCGGCCAAAGGGCCAGGGGCCGATGCTCACTGCCTGTTAGGGTTTAGGGTTTAGGGTGTAGGGTTTAGGGTTTAGGGTTTAGGATTTACGGCTTAGGGCTTAGGGTGTAATGTTGCACCCGCAATATTCTAGGGGGCCGCTATTATGAAAAGTTTTCCGGCTATTCAGGATCTGGACCCTCTGTTTTGGGGGTCCGCAATAATGAAAAGATTTCGGGCCGGGCCTGTTTTTTTCAAATGGTTTTTGAGTCAAGTTCCCAGATCCCAAACTAAGAAGAGAGCTCATTTCTCTGCCCCCCCCCCCACCCCCCCCCCCGACTGTTTGGGGCCTTTTTTTTATTCAGGGTCGCGACTGTTGAGGGGGGGGGGGGGGTAACTTATTAAAGCAGGTCCAACATTAGGGTTTAGGGTTTAGGGCTTAGGGTTTAGAGCTGGAAGGTTCATAAGTTGAGGACCCGTTTGAAGACGGAGAATCAGGGAGCAGCTGCTTCCACGAAACGTTCCGCATGCTTGGAGGTTATGCTGAAGGACCGATCCCCAAAATCTGCGATTTGGGGTTTAGGGTTTAGGGTTTGGGGTTTAGGGGTACAGTTTCGTACTTGACTTTGATAAGGCGCCCGAGAAACCGCGGCTCAAGTATGGTAACGAAACTCAGGCTCCGTCCTTTTACAAGAGCCCTGAACCCTTACAACCCCAAACCCGCTTGCAAGGGCTTAGGAATTGGGATCCGTGCTTATATAGGGCCGCAGAAACCACTAAGGATCCTACCATTGGGGTAGAAGGGCCCCTACAAGCCTAGGGGGATTCTGGAAAACCATGTTTGTAGACTCCTTATTGCTTCTGCTTAAACCCTAAACCCTGAACCCTAAACCCTAAACCCTAAACCCTAAACACTAGCTTAAGCGGTCGGTACTCGGCCTCGATGAGAGCATGACTCGCTGCCGGCCTCAACGACGGCACAGTCGGCCATACAGAACCTGCGGAGGGGTTTAGGGTTTAGGGCTTAGGGTTTCGGGTTTAGGGCTTAGGACTTAGGGTTTGTAGGGTTGAGGGGGTTTGGGGTTCGGGGTTCGGGTTTGGGGTTTAGGGCTCCCTTGGGCCCCCGACGTTAAAAGGCAACAGCCGAAGCAAACCAAAAGACGATGAACCCGATCCTATTGCAGTCTTTGGTTTGGGGAACCCTAAACCCTAAACCCTAAACCCTAAACCCTAAACCCTCAGAAACACTCTGCACAATTCTCTGAGAAGTAGGCAGGGCGTGAATTTTACACGAGAGCCTGCGAGGAGAAAAGCCCCAAAAAACCTCTAACCCCCAAACCCTAAACCCCCCAACTAGAATCCTTAAGCCCGAAACCCTGTAAACTCGAAATCCTGAACCCTAGAATCCTAAACCCTCCGCCCTGCCTGTGGTGATAGTCCTGCTGGGCTCTTTCTCCCTGCGCCACAGGTTTAGGGCTGAGGGTTTAGGGTCCGGAGTTCGGGAAATCGGGCTGAGATGTCCAAAAGGGGCAGGTAGCCCTAAACCCTAAGCCCTAAACCCTAAACCCAACTTGTTCCCCAATGGTCTTCGCACTCCCTGAGACGCAACTTCCAAACCCTAAACCTCACTCCACTAAGGATCCTTCAGGGTTTAAGGTTCAGGGTTCAGGGTTCAGGGTTTAGGGTTTAGGATTTAGGGTTTAGGGTTTCAAGTTTTAGGATTTAGGGTTAGGGCTTCGGACTGATGGATCAATCCGCGCCCTGCACCGCTTTCAGGCCTTGGGGTGGGCACATGGGCACGGCATGGAAAAATAGGAAAGATCTATTTTTCACCTAAACCATATATATATATATAATACATATATCCCTAAACCCTAAACCCTAATCCCTACACCCTAAGCCCCAAACCCCATACCCTAAACCCCAAACCCGAAACCCTAAACCCCAAACCCTAAACCCTAAGCCCTAAACCCCCAGGCGAAGGAATCCCAAAGGACGCTTTGCCTCACCCCAGCCCGAGAAGATCTCCCAGGTCACATTCGGCCCGCCGCGGGTCGCCTCGGCAGCGTCTTGGCCTTGGGTTTAAAGACCAAGAACCTTCCAGCCCCCTAGAGAAAAGAGGAACAGTCACAAGGATCCTCAAAAACAAACTTGGCTTGGCTACCTTAGGAGGGTAGTAAACATTAAAGCTGCCTTATGAGAAAAAAAGAAGCTCAGGATCTAAAGTTACAGAAAATCACCACAAATAAACCCTAAACCCTAAACCCTAAGCCCTAAACCCTGAACCCTAAACCCTAAACCCTAAACCCTAAACCCAAAACCCTAAACCCTAACTTGGGGACCATTATCCTTGATTGACTTCGTGAAGCGAGATTGGAAGACTGGGGATTTTCCACAGCTCATAAGGACAGCTCGGGGCTTTGGCCCTAAACCCTAAACCCTAAACCCTAAACCCTAAACCCTAAACCCTAAACCCTAAACCCTAAACCCTAAACCCTAAACCCTCAGGTTTGTTTGGCATGAAGGGTTTAGGGCTGAGGGAAATTGGAGGAACCCGCCGAGCGAAGACCCCAGCGACTCCTGCACCCCTTGGGAGCGCATGTTTCACATCTTCCCTGTGGGGTTTAGGGTTTAGGGTGTAGGGTTTAGGGTAGTCGTAAAAAGCAACTGAGTGTCCCAGCATCTTGGGTTGATAGGGGTTGGGGGTCAAGTAGTTCGGGGGATCAGACGTTCCATTGAAATACCGTGAGACAGTTTCAGTGCAAACCGAAGCAAACCCTAGACCCTTGATACATGAAATAAACATATTGGTATGGATGCGGTTTCTTGTGCTCCTGGGTTTGAAGGGTACCCGAAAAACTAGCGTGTGCCAGGAGTGTGGGTTTAAACGCGATGTCCCAAGCCTCCCATGTGGCTCATTTGATCCAAGCGTCCCCTCCCCTGACTAAACCCTGAACCCTGAACCCTAAACCCTAAACCCTAAACCCTAAACCCTAAAGCCACACGATCCCCGACGGGAACTCCAAACCTTGAAGCCAGGCACCGGAAGCTCCATGTGATATGCTCCACACTTTGTGTCGCAGGTGTGCTTGTGCAACCTTGCCAAAGGATTCCTAGGGTTTAGGGGTTAGGGTTTAGGGTTTAGGGTTTAGGCACTAGGTTTTTGGGAACTCGTTTTTGTAGTTTCTTTCGACAGAACCCCGTTTAGGGTTCACGGTTTGGAGTTCAGGGTCGAAGAACCCAAAACCAACTCGTTTTGGAGTTCTTACGGTAGAAACCCCTTGTAGGGTTCCTAGGCAGAACCTAAATCGGTGTTGGTTGGTGAGGTGTACAGTACCTTGAACCCTTGAATCCTGATACCCTTAAACGCTTAAACGCAAACAGTGTGACACTGAACCCTCAAACCCCAAAATGCTTAAACGATAGAAGTACCTCCTATATAGAGTTTCTATACTCCCCTTAGAACCTTAATTTAAAAACGAATCTAATATCCTCTTGGGTTTTATATAAACAAAAAAGAAAAAATGTATCGAGGGGGATACAGGTTTGGGGCCCGCGCATATAAACCCTAAACCCTAAACCCTAGACCCTAGACCCTAAACCCTAAACCCTCCCCTATAACCCTGAACATGGACCCTTTCGGGAACTGGATCCGAGAGAGGAGAGGATCAAACAACAGCCCAAGCGGTCAATGCTTGAACCAGGGGCACGGCACCACCAGAAGCTTTGTTTGGGTTTTAGGGTTTGGGGTTTAGGGTTTAGGGTGCAGGGTTTTGGGTTTCTTGGGATCTAGGGCTAGGTTTAGGTGCAGAGTTTTAGGGGTTTGGGGTTTAGGGTGTACCTTAAGAACCCAAAACCTACTTCTCAGTAGGCTCTTCTTACAAGCCCTTAGAGGATATTTTAGGTAACCTACCAAAAAGTAGGTTTTTGGGTTCTTAAGTTTAAGGTAGGGTTTAGGGGCTCAGGGTTTAGGGTTTGGGGTTCAGGGTTTAGGGTTCAGGGTTTAGCCTGGGAGCGTTGAACGGCGACGCAGGGCTGTTCTCGGGTTTATAGAGTTTAGGGTTTAGGGTTTAGGGGTTAGGCTGTGCTAATTGTCGGACACCCCGCAAAAAGGGGGACTACAATGTTCTGCAGACTTGAAGAGGCTCGCGTTACATTGGATGTTTGCCTTTTTGTGGTGTAGGGCAACCCTAAACCCTGGGCTGCCCAGTAACCTAGGCTTAAAACGGGTGCCCTTTTTGCTTAAAGGGGTTTATAAGGGAACCGAAATCCCCAAAAAAGGGAATAAGGGTGCTACTGGGCATCCTAGAACCCGAAGCCAAAAGAAGCAACACTACCTTGTAATTCTGTCTTTGCGAGAAGCCATTCCTGCATTTTGTGTGCAAACGTCGGCAAGTGCTCGTTGACATACCTGACAATCAGCGTCTAAACCCTAAACCCAAACCCACCTTGCAAACCTAAAACCTGAAAACTTAAACTCTAGACCCCAACTCAACTAAACCACACAACCCCTAGTCAAACCATAAACTCATTAAACACCCTTTAGATGTCTAGATCTTCCAATGCGTCCTAACACACTAGACCCAGGAGTAGCCTAGGAGTGAACAGGGTGCCCTTTTTAGTTTTACGGGGATTACAAGAGAACCCCAACCCTAAAACAAGGGGAAAAAGAGCCTACGACGTACGAGAATGGCATGATGTTTGTTTGTGGGGTTTAGGGTTTAGGGTTCAGGGTTTAGGGGTGCTCTTAATCATTGTATACTTTCCTATCAATCGCGTGTGGGCCGACAGGGTTTCTAGGCTCGCGGGGCTTACAGGGTTGAAGGGGTTCATATACGCGCTTCGGGCGTACAAAGTGTAGGAAAGGTTTAGGGGTGCAGGGTTTGGGGGGGGATGTGTAGGGTGAAGTGTGTAGGTCACTTCCAGGATTGTAGGGTGCATAGGGCTTAGGGCAGTCGGGCTTCCGAAACCCTAAACCCTAAACCCTAAACCCCAAACCCTAAACCCTAAACCCTAAACCCTAAACCCTAAACCCTGAACCTATGCATCCGCTTCCGTTCGAGGCACTCCACGGACGGAAGCTTTGCGAGGCATGTTCGCATGAGATCGTTCTTCGTCTGGCAGGGTTGGCTTTGGGGGGTTTAGGATTTGGGCTTTAGGGCTTTAGGGCTTTAGGGTTTTAGGGTTTTAGGGTTTTAGGGTTTTAGGGTTTTAGGGTTTTAGGGTTTTAGGGTTTTAGGGTTTTAGGGCTTTAGGTACCCAAGAGGCCCAAGAGTAGCCAGGAAGAAAAAGGGTACCCTTCTTGGTTTTGAGGGGCTTTTCAGGGAAGCTCAACCCTATAAAGGAGGGAGTAAGGGTCTACTCTGGGTCATTTATAGTATCCCTGAACCTTAAACCCTAAAACCCTACCAGGGCCCACTCTGGGTCATAGTTGAGCGTTTCTAGGGCAGGGGCGTGATCGCTCAAGCCACCGATTCCCAAAGACGGACAATGAAGAGGGGATCCGAACTATGGGCCCTTAATTTGGGTCCCCTGTTTTATGACCCTTATATACTTTTTTACAGAATAAGGGCCCATACTTCGGATTCCTTTCAATCCCTTTAAAAGGGGTAAGGGACCATACTAAGGGCCCATGGTTCCAACCTTGGAATAATGAGGGGCACAGGCTTGCTGTTTTACTTGCTTGTTTACTTACCCTAAACCCTAATTACAGGTCAGGGTTTCCCTAGAGGATCTATTCCCGGCCCCCCAACCCATGAACCCCCCTCCTTAAGAACCTCACGCCCGCCCTGCCCCCATCCTTCAGGAACAAAGAATTCGGCTTTAAGACTCCAATCCTACACCCCAGACTCTAAAACCTAAACCATAAACCCTAAGTTTAAACCCTACAACCCAAAAGACCGGCAGCATTCCCGTCCTGGCCGCGGACAAACAAGGACTCGGCTTCTTGCCGCGCAGCCAGATCGTCGTACTTCTGGTAGTGATCATAGGGAATCTGGAGTTGATACCTGCCCAGATCTTCCAAAACCCCTTAATTAAGGAATAGACCCTACTTTATACTAGGGATACTTCTTCTGAATTCGGGCATATTCTTTCATTAAGGGGTTTTAGTGATCATAGGGAATCTGGAGTTGATACCAGCTGCACGAAGAGCTCCGAGCCGGGCCTAACAGGAGTTTATATAGGTTTCGGGTGAACCGCCCCAAACTGTAAGGACTGGGGTTCTTGGAGATTCTAAAGGTAACCGGACTCATAAGAGTAATAAGACATCACAGAGTCTTAAATCCAGTACCCACTAATCCTAAACCCTGAGCCTTAAACCCTAAATCCTACATTACTACTTGCTTAAGAACCCCCCTCCCAGCAAAACATGAAGAATAGTCTTGCCCTTATAAATTATGAGGAATATATTTTGTGTGGTTCCTAAGCAAAGTAGTTTTAATTATAAGCCCTCTCAGAGTAGACCAATCCCAAAGCCCGGAACACCTAAACCCCAACCCCAAACCCTACAAGCAGCCTAAGTCCTAAACCCCCAAATCCAGAGAAACCTTTACCCCAAGCCAAACGCCCAACAACCACGGCATGGGTTCAGGGTTTAGGCTTAGGGTTTAGGGTTTCGGGTTTAGGGTTTCGGGTTTAGGGCTTTGGGTTTAGGGCTAGGAAGCCCATGCTACCCCTTCGCAAACCCCCTACACCTGAAGAAAGCTAACCTCAGCTGCTAAACCCTAAACCATAGGCCGCCCGCGCCAGGCGGCGGCCGGTACAACTGAACGCTACCGCTTCGAGATCTGCTTGCTTTGCCAAGCAGATCGAGCTTGCCACACCTGATGCATCCCTGCTAGCCATAGGGCACAATGTAATAATGGATTAACCCTAAACCCCCGACGCGCGACCCCGGCGGGGGAGGTCGGGCCTAAGAAGCTGTTGCGCCCCCACCAGGTTGCCCCCGCCAGGGTTGCCTCGCCAGGGCTGCCCCCGCCAGGGTTGCTCCGCCGCCAGCGTTGCCCCCGCCAGGTCGCCCGCCAGGGTTGCCCCCGCCAGGGTTGCCCCCGCCAGCCTGCCAGGGTTGCCCCTGCCAGGGTTGCCCCCGCCAGGGTTGCAGGATCGGTTTACGCTAGGGTTGCCCCCGCCAGGGTTGCCCTGCCAGGGTTGCCCCCGCCAGGGTTGCCCCCGCCAGGGTGACAGGGTTGTCCCCGCCAGCTTACTGGGGTTGCCCCCTCCGGTTGCCCCCCCGAAATTGGCCTCGCCGCCTCTTCAGGAATTGTGCACCTGTATGCTTCGTCGTCCTTCTGTATGAAGGGCCCTGCCAAAGTTCTCCATTAGTGGCCCCCACCAGGGTCCAGACATATATATATAAATATGTTTATACCTCACCTTGCCCCTGCCAGGGTTGCCCCCGCCAGGGTTGCCCCCACCAGGGTTGTCTCCGAGGTTTTGCTCCCACCAGGGTTGCCTCTGCCAGGGTTGCCCCCGCCAGGGTTGCCCCCGCCCTGTCAGGTTGCCCCGCCAGGGTTGCCCCCGCCAGGGTTGCCCGCCAGGATGCCCCAGGGTTGTCCCCGCCATTTTTCATAATTTTTAATCTACATTTTCTATCTTCTAATATTCCTTTAAGGAATTCCACTAATACTGAAATGGCATTTTTTCCTTTCAGTATTAGTAAAGATTTCTATGGAAAGATATTAATTTTCGATCTATATCTTCTTCAAATTCATTTCGGCTTCTCTTCTTTCTCACATCCAGTGAATGCAGTAGAAGCATGTGGATTACTTACTCCTCTACATATCGTACCTGAATGGTATTTCTTATGCCAATATGCTATGCTAAAAGCTGTACCAAATAAAAATGCAGGATTCATTATCTTTCATCCTATTCTACTTTATGAGAAGTCTTTCATTGTCATTCTATTTTATAATTAAGACGTCCAGTAGATTTAATGGTTTTTATCGCAACCCCGCCGGGTTGCCCCCAGTTTTACCCCTGCCAGGGTTGCCCCCACCAGCGTTGCCCCCGCGAGGGTTGCCGCCGAGTTAGGGTTGCCCTCGGCAGGGTTGCCCCCGCCAGGGTGACATTGCCCTCGCCGGGTTGCCCTGTCAGGGTTCCGCGCCTCCTCACGTCGCCTACTCAGGAATTGTGCACCTTCTCTGCGACGGCCCTACCCACCTCGTCCTCTTCGCGCGCTGGCGAGGCTTCGTCGTCCTTCTCTCTGAAGGTTTGTTTAGTTGCCGAGCAGGGCTTCAAGTGCCATATGGGCCCCAGATGCTTGAAGGGCCCTGTCAAAGTTCTCTATTAGTTAATTGCCAGGGTTTCCCATTAGTAGTCGCCCCCGCCAGGGCCCCGCCAGGGTTGTCCCCGCCAAGGTTGACATATATATGTATATATATATATATATATGTAGAGAGAGAAATAAGAAAGACCTCGCCTTGCCCCTTCCAGGGTTGCCCGTGCCAGGGTTGCCCCCGCCAGGGTCGCCCCCGCAGTTGCCCCCGCCAGGGCTGCCCTTGGGTTGTTGGGCCAAAGAAGCCCTTGCGCCAGCGGGTGGCCGGGCCTTCCGCGCTTGGCCTTCGCCATTCTGCCATATGGATGAGCTTGATTCCGGAATTGGGCTTGAGGGTGTCTTAAGCACAGTATGGGTGAAACAGATTGTCCCGCTCCCTGTTGATCCAGGAAAGTGTAGGCTCAAGCAACAGCAGCAGTCAACACGTCCCACCCCGGCCAGCGGGGAGACTCGAGGTGTAAGCCCCCTTGATAGGGGGGCCGTGGAGGGTAGACCGCTCTAAACCCGAAAAAGGCGGCAGTTTGGGTGGCTGGGGTGGGATCCGCTGCACCGAGGCGGCCCGACCCGCCACCACTGGCGCGGGTCGGGACCGCGGCACTTTGGAACACCCTAAACCCTAAACCCTAAACCCTAAACCCTAAACCCTAGACCCTAAACCCTAAACCCTAAACCCTAAACCCTGAACCCTAGGCTTGGCCCTAAACCCTAAACTCAAAAACCCAAAAAACCCTTGACCCGACGTCAACCGTAAACCGTACAATCCTGAAGGCAAGTTTAGGGTTTAGGGTTTAGGGTTTAGGGTTTAGGGTTTAGGGCTTTGGGTGGGGCACGTCTCGTCGAAGTGGCCGTTCTCGATTCTGAGGACGTCCCCGGGGTCGAAGTCCCCGGGGAGCAGCTCCCTGGCACCTCGCCGGGGTTTAGGGTTTAGGGTTTAGGGTTTAGGGTTTAGGGTTTAGGGTTTAGGGTTTAGGGTTTAGGGTTTAGGGTTTAGGGTTTGGGGTCCTGCGCCCAAAACCTGTAAGCTCTGCACCCTAGACCTCTCGTGGATAATCCGAGAACTTCGAGCGGCCTTCTTGTGTGCGCGCACCTGACTTTGTATTCCACTGTAACTGAGAGAGCAAAGAGCACATGGCGGAGAAGCAAGAACAGCTCAGAGGCCAGTTCGTTTAAAGACATTTAAAAGACTGCCCGGCAAGGAGAAGCTTGTGACACCCAAAACCCCTACGCAGCCGATTACCCGAGACCCTAAACCCTAAACCCTATAAGCCCCGAACCCTGAGCCCCAACCCCAAATTTGACAAGGAAGGAACGGCTCACCCGAAGTTTCCCGAGCCGTTCTTCGCAACTCAGCAGAAAATTGGGCAACAACTCTGGTACCTCTGTAAGGGTCTAGGGTTTAGGGCTTAGGGTTTTGGGTTTAGGGTTTAGGGCTTAGGGTTTAGGGTTTAGGGCTTTGGGGTTTAGGCGTTCTCTTCCGCAGGCTTAGGCCCTGCCGCTTGTTTGGGCACCCACCTTCAATCTTACAATCTCAGTAAGCCCTGAGCCCTAAACCCTAAACCCTAAACCCTAAACCCTAAACCCTAAACCCTAAACCCTAAACCTAAACCCTAAACCCTAGTTCCAAAATCCGAAGCAGGCACCTGCAAAGTGCATGCGCACAGCGGATGTGTTCACAGGCGTGATGGTCTTGTCCCTTGGCAGGATGCAAAGTTTAGGGTTTAGGGTTTAGGGGTTTAGGGGCTTGGGGTTTAGGGTTTAGGGGCTTGGGGTTTAGGGTTTAGGCTTTAGGGTTGTCCCTTGGCAGGATGCAAGGTGCCAAATCGTGAACGCCATGAACCTTACGAGGTCCCAAGGGTGGCGCCTGTGTTTAGGCTTTTAGGTATGTCGGCTATATACACATACTAGTATAGGGGTATAGATGAGATGTACTCCTTATACTCCATAGCTTAGATAGATGGGGTAGTAGTTTGTCTGAGGTTTGGGGTTTGGGGTGATTTAGGTTTGAGATGTGGCCAAAGGTCTACCAAACTTTTACCCTACTTAATCATCCTTCTAGGTACCCCTGAACCTCCAAGTACTGCAAAAGTAGCCTCCAGACGGGCATTTTCCAAGTTAATGACACCCCAAACCCTAAAACCTAAACCCTAAAGCCCTTTAAACAACCGCAAATGAAAATATACCCCAAACCCTAAACCCTAGATTCTTTTGTATTCCGCAAGTGGAACCCCCCCCCCCCCCCATCCCACCCCCCGCAGACACGCCCTAAACCCTAAACCCTAAACCCTAAACCCTAAACCCTAAACCCTAAACCCTGGACGACCATGTTTTGCAGGTGGCGGCGCCTGTTCATCTGAAGCGATCCATCCCAGACCTGCCACACATCCGAGCATTGGGAGTTTCGGGTTATAAGCCCTAAACCCTAAACCCTAAACCCTAAGCCCTAAGCCCTAAGCCCTAAACCCTGAACCCTAAACCTTCGAGTTAAGGGGCTGCAGTTGGAGGATCGTTGGGATCCATCAAGCCCTCAACCTTGGAACTCCTGGGTCGTATCCAGTACTTGCGGCAGGCCTCAGTGGACCTAATCCCTAAACCCATAAGGGTTTAGGGGTACGGGTTTAGGGTTTAGGGCTTGGGTTGCAGGTTTAGGCATAGGGTGTAGGGTTTCAAGGTTTAGGCTTTTCAGGTTTTTGGGTTTTAAGGCTTAGGGTTCAGGGTTGTCGGCAACCGAGACACCATCACCATCAGCGCCGCAAACTGCGAGCAGAACATGTTCTCGAACTTCTCTGTCGCCTAGCACCCGGATGGGCTACTGCTTGTTTCAATACCCTAAACCCTAAACCCTAAACCCTAAGCCCTTGAGAGGGAACGAGGGTCGGAGGTTGCCTAAGCCTAAAGGGCCCCTGACAGAAGCAAGTGAAGGACTTGCATTAGGAAGAACTTGCAGGTTTTCGGGGGTTTAGGGTTTGGGGGTTCGGGTTAGGGTTTAGGGTTCAGGATTTAGGGTCTAGGATTTAGGGTTCTGCGAGATCGCAAGACATGACCTGTCTAGAACGCGAAGCTCGTGAAAGTTCCCTCAACCCAGACTGTGTAGCCTTCATACAATGCTGAACTCTCAACCCTCAGCCCTCAGACCTCAGCCCAGAAACCCCTAAACCCTAAACCCTAAACCCTAAACCCTAAACCCTAAACCCTAAACCCTAAAACGCTGCTGCAACCCCTAAATGGGTTGGGGAGGTGGGCTGCCGGAACAAGACGCCCAAGACCTTTCAAGTGCAAGAGTCCATGGTGTTCGGAGCGATTGAGGGTTCGTGGGTTTAGGATTTAGGGTTTAGGGTTTAGGGTTTAGGCTTAGGGTTTAGGGTTTAGGGTTTCGGGTTAATTGGATAGATGATTTAGAGCTTGCTGAAGCCTAAGACCTCCACTCTGAGGGTAGTTACATGGTCCCCCAAAATGCGCCCTTAACAGGGGGCCCCTTCTTTCCCCCTCCTCGAACCTATGCAACCCAAGCGCCCATACGGTCTAGCCCTAAACCCTAAACCCTAGACCCTGAACCCTAAACCCTACCTAAACCCTAAACCCTAAACCTTTACAGTTTTCCAAGGACCAAAAACCGTGAACCTCAACAGGGCCAACCGGGCGCCTCTCTCGTGGACTTTGTCCAAGTGTGATAGAACTTGCCCAGGAGTGACTCCTTGGGTTTAGGGTTTAGGGCTTAGGGTTTGGGGTTTAGGGTCTAGGGTTTAAGGCTTAGTGTCCCAGATCTTCCAGAAACCCCTGTAATCTTACTTGTCCAGTAACCTGGCAGAACTAAAGGTTTACCTTTTGGTCTTATAAGGGGACTACATTACCCCAAAAAAAATAAAGGTCACCTACTTTACTACTAGGTAAATATACGGAATGTACCCTAGGGGTATATTGCTTACTCAAGGGGTTTTGAATCTGGGTTTGAGGCATAGGGGTTCGGGGTTTAAGGTTTAGGGGTCGAGGGTTTGGGGTTTAGGGTTTAGGGCTTGAGGTTCGGGCGTGGGCTTGAGGAGACCAATTTACGGCACGAATGCAGAAGCTCCAAACCCGGCACCCCCGATAACACCCAAAGCCCCAAAGCCCTGAAGCCCCCTAAACCCTAAACCCTAAACCCTAAACCCTAAACCCTAAACCCCAAACCCTAAACCCTAAACCCAAAGCCCCTGACACCTTGCTCCCAGACCCTTGTCCACCCACCTAAAGGCCTGGAAGTGTGAGAGTCTTCAACAGTAGTCCCTAAACCCCTGAACCCCTAAGCCCTACTAAATCCTAAACCCTAAACCCTAAATCCTAAACCCTAAACCCTAAACCCTAAACCCTAAACCCCAAACCCTAAACCCTAAACCCTAAACCCCAAACCCTAAACCCTGAACCCAAAACTTACCTCTAGGGCTGCAACGGTTTTACCTGGTTGCAACGGTTTTACCTGGCGATCTGTACCCTCCCGATCCTCCAGGAAGGATCCTCAACTCTAAGCAAACAGGGTTTAGGGTTTAGGGTTTAGGGGTTTAGGGGTTTAGGGTTTAGGGTTTAGGGGTTTAGGGGTTTAGGGTTTAGGGGTTTAGGGGTTTAGGGGTTTAGGGGTTTAGGGGTTTAGGGGTTTAGGGGTTTAGGGGTTTAGGGGTTTAGGGGTTTAGGGTTTAGGCTTTCGGAAGACCTCTTGGCCCGTCGTTTTGGGGCTTAGGGTTTAGGCTTTAGGGGAAAACTTTTTGGCCCGCCGTCTTGGGGCATACTTGGAGGTTTATGTTATATACTTGTTAACCAAATATACCTGTACGTAGAGCCCGCTTATAAGCCCCTTGAGTGCCCTAATATGGGAACAATTGGGGTTGGTAAGTACAGTTATAGTTGGTTGATGAGTACCATGAACCTTCAAGTAGGCTTGAGGGCTTATACCAGGTTAGGCCATGTAAGCCATGTGAACAAGATTCCTAAACATGTTTTTGCAACCCCAGTAGAGAAAATATGGACATAGCCCAAGTACCTAGTATGGGATTTCAGGCTTATAGGCAATAGGGCTTATGTGTTTTGTCTTTTTTGTTTACGGCTTGGGGCTTGAGAGTTAACAGGAAAAACACACCTCAAAGAAACAGAAACCAAACCTCAAAACGCCCAAAAACCCAGATCAAAAACATGAAGACTCGTGATTCTGCCAACCCCAAACCCTAAACCCTAAACCCTGAACCCTAAACCCTAAACCCTAAACCCTAAACCAGGCATCTCAGCCCTGCTCCCTTAGCCCCAAACCCTTAAACCCTAAACCCTGAACCCTGAAACTCTAAATCCTAAACCCCTAGACCCCACGCCCGAACCCCTAAAGTCTAAGCCCGACACCCTAAACTCCAAACCCGAAACCCTAAATCCAAAACCCGAGACTTTAAACTCTAAACCTGAAGCCCCAAAACCCGAAGCCCTGAACCCCAAAACTCTAAACCCCAAACCCGAAGCCCTAAACTCCAAACTTTAAACCCCCCAACCCAAACCCGAAACCCTAAACTCCAAACTGTAAACCCCCAAACCCAAAACCCGAAACCCTAAACTCCAAACTTTAAACCCCCCACCCCAAAACCCCAAACCCTAAACTCCAAACTTAAAAACCCCAAACCCAAAACCTGAAACCCTAAACTCGACCGACCTCGCTGCTATCCAGTCTGAGAGGCGCTTGTAGTGAACATCTGCAGGTAGTCCTGTGCTGACCCGAACCCTTAAGTGTAGGGTTGAAAGTGTAGGGTTTAGGGTTTAGGGTTTAGGGTTTAGGGTTTAGGGTTTAGGGTTCAGGGCTGAAAGTTTAGGGTTTAGGGTTTAGGGTTCAGGGTTCAGGGCTCAGGGGAAAGGATCGCTGCAGGAGGAGGAGTTTAGGGATTGGGGTCTAGGGCTGGGTGCCTCATGTAGGAGGCACTAACCAGGATGCGGGTCATAAAAGTCCACATGCAGAGGGCCTAAACCCTAAACCCTAAACCCTAAACCCTAAAGGTATGAGGGGGGGGGGGGGGGCGGAAAGGTTGGAGTCTATCTACCGGAAAGCTGGACGACGTTTCGGGCACTGAAGCAGAAACACCATAATGCCTAGTTCACACCGTCGTTTCCTTCGAATGGCACCTTCAGCCTAACTTCAATAACAGCATAAGCAGTCCGACGACTTGGGAACTACTAACTGCTTAAGAACCTCCAAAAAATAACCTTACAAGGGCAATATAGGGATTACTATGTTTCATTCTGTTTGGGTTCTTCTGCAAACAGTAGGGAAGGTTGCTCATTCGCAACACCTGCATGAATCTGCCCCGAGGTCCAAGGAGAACAGCATGGTGTAAGATTTAGGGTTTGGGGTTTAGGGTTGAGGGTTTTAGGGTCTGAGGGGCGTAGGGCCTAGGGCTTAAGATCTAGGGTTGGAGTTTTCCGGGTTTCGGGTGCTTGGAACCGGGTCTTTACCAAGCATGCAGTACTTGCAGAGCTAACCGGGTGTCTCACAGCCGACAGGCTCGGAGGCAACCTGCACTTTGTTAACGTCAAAGAGTATCAAAATTGCCTCTGTTGGAAGCTTCAAATACCCCAACTCATAGTCCAGGCTTTAGGGGTTTAGTTTCAGGGTTTTGGGGTTTAGGGCTCTAGGGGGGGGGGGTTGAGGGTTTTCAGGCTTTAGGTTTTTTTGGGGTTCAAGGCATTAGGGCTAGCAGGAACAAACCCTAAACCCTAAACCCTAAACCCCAGAATTCGGACAGGCCACCACTCTGCGGGTGTGAAAGCACGCGGACAAAGTTACCAGCTGGTCCATGGCCTCTGCATCCAACTCCTTCTTCCTCAGGGACTCGGCAAGTTAAACTGTGCGGTTTAGGGTTTAGGGTTTAGGGTTTAGGGTTTAGGGTTTAGGGTTTAGGGTTTAGGGTTTAGGGTTTATTAAACCGAACAGCATTCATGAAGGTCCGAACCCACACCCTCAGCCTCAAACCCAAGCCGAAACCACTCCACCGCCCGTGTCCTGTTTTGTTGAAGGAAACGGTCCCATAATCGCATACACTGTACACAAGGTGATGAGCCTTCAACACCGAAGCCCTACAACCCTACAAGAAACCCTACACCCTGTACAACCCTAACACCGAAAACAAAAACAGACCCTACACAAGACCCTAACACCCTAAACTCTGACAGGTTTAGGGTTTAGGGTTCAAGGTTTAGGGTTTAGAGTTCGCCCCTAACATTGCTCAGTGTCCGCGGCTTGATGAACACCTGGGTGCCCTCCGGCCATCCAATGGTGAGCTTGCCTAGGGTTTGGGGTTTTGTGTTTGGGGACTAGGAGATAGGAGTTTAGGGTTTTGGAGTTTAGGGGTTTAGGGATGTTTAGGGGGGATCTTGCCTAGGGTTTAGGGTTTTGCGGTCTGGGGTTTAGGGGTTCGGGTTTGGGGTTTAGGGCTTCGGGCTTGGGGTTTAGGGCTTAGGGGTTGTTTTGGGAGGTTTCGGGTTTTAGGGGTTTTAGGGTTGTAGGGTTTCAGGGTGCAGGGGGATAAGGGGTTAGGGCTCAGGGATTTCGGGCTCAGGGCTTGGAGTCATGGGGTCCAGGGTTTAGTTTAGGGTTTAGGGTTTAGGGTCTAGGGTCTAGGGTCTAGGGTTTAGGGTTTAGGGTTTAGGGTTTAGGGTTTAGGGTTTGGGGTTTGGGGTTTGGGGTTTAGGGTTTAGGGTTTAGGGTTTAGGGTTTCGGGTTTCGGGTTTCGGGTTTCGGGTTTCGGGTTTAGGGCTTAGGGTTTAGGGTTAGAAGAGGTTCCAGCTACCGACTCCAACTGCAACGAATAGTCCATATTCGTGTAGCGATCCATCTCGGCGCAAGGCAAAACACTCACCAAGCAAAACTAAACTCTCCGAAAAGAATGCGGAAAAAGAAGGCAGAGATACAGCGTTACTCTCGTGGGAGAATCGGGAGTGCGAGCTTCTGGAATCCTGCTCCTCTTGCGACTCTTCGGGTTGCGGCGCAGGTAAGCGAGTTCCCTCTCCCCCCTCAACCAGCCGTCCATAGACGGCCGGCGAGGCGGACGACGATTCGAGGGTTTCTGGCGTTTAGGGTTTTGGCTTTAGGGTTCTGGGGTTTTGGAATGGAGGGTTTGCCGGGGTTGAGGGTGGTTAAAGAAGCATGAGGTTGATATTTTTTTGTTTTTTTTGTTGGGGGGGGGGGGGGGGGGGGGTCGGTTCGGGTTCAGAGTTGACGGTTTAGGGTTTAGGGTCTTCTTGGAGTTGGCGATTCATGGAGCTTCGTGTTTAGAAGTTGAGAGTTTAGGAATTCTAGGGTTCGCCAACTGCTTCTGCAACGTCTGGTTTAGGGTTTGGGGTTTAGGGTTTTATAGTGTTTAGGCTTAGGTTGAGGGAGTGGGGTTTAGGATGCAAGGACTCCCAATGCGAGACAAGTTGCTGTACATGTCGACGTAGTGGAAGCCCTTCCTGTGCCCAGGCTTTGTGATTTTCCTGCTTCCTAGCCCTAAACCCTAAACCCTAAACCCTAAACCCTAAACCCCTCTGCATCCCAAAACCACGCGAGAAGTAATGGCCTGTTTAAGGGTGAGCCCCGTGGGGTTTTCAAGCCCGAGGCCTACAAACCTCAAGCCTTCTCGGGTCTATAGGGTTTAGGGTTCAGGGTTGTTTTGTTATTTGTTTATTTAGTTATTATTCATTATGTTTTATGTATTTATTTGTTATTATTCTTTTATTAGCATTTATTATTATTATCTTTCATTATTATCTTTTTTTTTTTTGTTTTTTTTTGGGGGGGGGGGTGGTGGTGTGGTAGGGTTGTAATATTATCGCTATGATTATTACTATTATTACGACTAGAATTATTTTCCATTGATTTTTTGTTGTTTGTTTGTTGTTTTTGTTTGGGGGGGGGATTGGGGTTTTGGGGCTTATGAATGCTCCAGGCGTAACTCGAAAGCAGACTCTTGATGGCTTGGGGATGTTCAGGGTTTAGGGTTGGGGGAATGAACCCTTTTCTTACCCCTCTAATGTTCCATCTGCTTCAGTGTGCCCCCCCCCCCCCCCCCCCCCCCTGGGGCCCACCGTGGAAGCTGATGTTGTCTCGCTTTAGACGGTCCCGGGACTGTATACGGCCTCAAAAGGGATGAGGCTACATGAATCCAAAAAAGGGACAGCGGGGCCCGGCAATTGGTGTTAAAAGCGCGACGACACCCGGAAGACTTGACGAAACTGAGGACATCACCCTAAATGCCCGAACAACCACACACTCCTGAAAAAAACGGCAAACTCCCTAAAAACTAAACCCTAAACCCTACACCCTAAACCCTAAACCCTAATCACGAGGCCCCTACGAAAGCGGGTGGAACATCTTTGCGCTAGCCCTGGACTTCCCAAACTCTAAACCTCAAACCCCAAAATCCTGCACCTAGCCTTCCTAAACCCTCAGCCCTCAACCCTAAACCCTGAACCCTCAACTGCTCCTAAACCCTAAACCCTGAACCCTCAACTGCTCCCAAACCCTAAACTTCCAGTCGGCTCCAAGGAACTTCGATTCTGCCGTCACCTGGTTATAGGGTCCTTTAGGGAGGGGGGCTCAAAGGGGGTTTAGGGTTTAGGGTTTACGGTTAGGGTTCAGGGTTCAGGGTTCAGGGTTCAGGGTTCAGGGTTCAGGGTTCAGGGTTCAGGGTTCAGGGTTCAGGGTTTAGGGTTTAGGGTTTAGGGTTTAGGGTTTAGGGTTTAGGGTTTAGGGTTTAGGGCTTGGGGTTTAGGATTTAGGGTTTAGGGCTTTTGTAACCCTAGCTTCCCTAAGACTTTCACTACTCCCTATGGCCCCCTAGCTTCCCTAAGCTTCCCTAGGTAACCTAGGTACCCCGAACCCTAAATCCTAAATCCTAAACCCTAACCCTAACCCCCCCCCCCGCCGCAGTGGCTTCTTGGTGCCTCTGGCTAGCGAAGCGATGATTTCCGAAATGTACATGGATCTGCACCACCCACTTGTGCAGGGCCATGGTGAGCGCACACGGCGAAGTACCGTCTGAACACCTTGTGGCAGTCCCGCAGGACGTCCGATTGGAAGACATGTCCTCATAGAACAGCAGTCTCGGTGCTTTCTTCACCTCTGGTTCAGCAACTTCTTCTTTCGGCATTGGCTTTGCCTGCGCCATTATCTTTGGCATAGCCTGCGCTTCTGGCTTCTTGATCACTTCTGGTGCTGCTTTCACTTGGGGCGTCGAGAACCCCCAGGACCCCTTGGCGGTTCATGGTACTTGTTATCCAATGATAACTGTACTTCTAGCCCAAATTTTAACCATATTAGGGCACGTAAGGGGCTTATACGTGAGTGATAGGTACAGTTATAGTATAGTTGGCTAGTAAGTGCCATGAACCTCCAAGTACGCTAGGTACCCCAAACCGTAAGCCCTAACTTCTAGCCCCCCCCCCCCCCCCCCCCATGAACCCCCCTCCCTTAAGGACTCTATAACCTATGCTCGGATCTCACACTTAGGTGTGGTTTAGGTTTAGGGCTTTAGGGATTAGGATTTTGGGGGGCTTTAAGTAGGGGTTAGGGTTTTAGGACTTTAGGGTTTTAAGTAGCGTTTAGGCTTTTGGGTTTTTAGGGTCCAGGGATTTTAGGGTTTCAGGTTTAGGGCTCGCGGGTTTCGAGCATTTTAGGGTTTAGGGTCTTAGTAGAGTCAAGGTCATACAAGTTATAGGGTTCAGAGCCGCGGGGGCTGATGTTGAAGCGCCGCTTGTGCTGTAGAAGCGACCCTCAACCCTCAGGCGCAAAAATACCCTAAACCGTCAGCCTTACCCTAACACCCTAAACGCTCCGCCCCATAAACTTAACACACCAAACACAAAACCCTGAAGCCGAAACCTAAACCCGAAACCCGAAACCCCAAATCCCTAGACCCTAAACCGTAAACCCCAAACCCCGAAACCCTAAACCCCAAACCCCAAATCCCAAATTAAACCCTAAACCTTAAACCCTAAACCCTAAACCCTAAACCCTAAACCCTAAACCCCCCAAACCCCAAATCAAACCGCAACTGCCAGGATAAGGAGCCATGTCTGGCAAGGCGTGGTTGCTGACCTGCGCAGAAATGCCAGTTGTCCAGTACTATAGGCGAGGGTTTAGGGTTTAGGGTTTAGGGTTTAGGGTTTAGGGTTTAGGGTTTAGGGTTTAGGCTTAGGGTAAAGAGTTTAGGGCTTAGGGTTTAGGGTTTAGGGTTTCTGAAGGATAAGCCTTTGAGAGTACAAGGAGATTCTATTACCCCAAAACGGCTAACGGTTTTCGCTAACGGTTTTCCTATTCTACAACAAAGGAAAGTACAGGGACAAGGAAGGCTGTAGACTGCACATTCAGCTGACATGGGTCGAGCCCTGAGAGCGCGAACGCTGCACTTCTTCAACGAAATTGTTTAACCCCAGGATCTTCACCCTACCAGGGTTCAGAGTTTGTTTTTAGGGTTTGGGGTTTAGGGTTTAGACCCTTAACCCTAAACCCTAGACCCTAACACCCTAACACCCTAACACCCTAACACCCTAAAAACCCTAAAACCCTAAAACCCTAAAACCCTAAAACCCTAAAACCCTAAAACCCTAAGACCCTAAAACCCTAAAGCCCTAAAACCCCTAAAACCCCTAAACCCTAAAATGGTTCGGGTTGAAAGTCAGGGCCTGGAGTGAGAGCGCAGACTTTTGCGAGAGTGGCTTGCAAGGGGGCCCGCGCACGAAATGAAGCCGCAAGCTTGTCGCGAGTTCATGTATATAAAGTATATGCATCTATTGGGTTTTGGGTTGAGGGTTTATAGGATTCAGGGTTTCGGGTTTAGGGTTTGGGGGTCTATTGGGTTTTGGGTTGAGGGTTTATAGGGTTCAGGGTTTAGGGTTTAGGGGTCTATGGGGTTTTGGGTTGAGGGTTTATAGGGTTCAGGGTTTCGGGTTTAGGGTTTAGGGGTCTATGGGGTTTTGGGTTGAGGGTTTATAGGGTTCAGGGTTTAGGGTGTAGGGTACATATGGAGTCGCAGCCAGAAGACATGGACACTCAGTGCCGAAAACACCCACCCACCCACCCAGGCTACCCACAACCCACACGCACACAAACCAAAAAAGACGAAGTCGTAGCTAAAGGGTGGGTGGGGGGGGAGTTTGAAGAGGGGCCTCCAGCAAACCCAGCACAGCATGAGGTTCGTGCGCCGGGACGTACTGCAACACACCTCAGCAAAGGCTGGGTGGGGAGGTGGGTGGGGGGGGCCTGGGGTTGAGCCCCCGAAGCCCAAAACCTAAATGCCGACCCCTCGGATACCCTTTAAGATGTCCTAAGGGATGTCACTCAAAAATGTCGCCATGAAGGTTGCCGGAGGCATTGTGCAGACAAACCGGCAAGCCCTAAACTGGACAGGAGAAGGGTCTTGCAACACTCAGCCCAACAGCAGGCACTTGGACTGGTTTGAGGAGATACAACCGGACAGTTCAACAGCCGAGCCGGTGTTTAGACCATACCTCCACCCTCGAAGCTAACATAACTTGGATAAGAGTTTGGGGTTCAGTGTGTGTCCGAGTGCTTATTGTGGGTACTTGCCCTCTCCCGGACTCTGAAACCCCAAGCCCTAAACCGAAAACCGCAACCCGAACCCCAAGCCCCAAGCCCCAAGCCCGAAGCCCTAAGCCCTAAGCCCTAAGCCTACTAACTCACAGTCTTCAGGGGCTCTTATCTTATAAAGTTCATTTAGGTTTAGGGTTTAGGGTGTAGGGTTTAGGGTTTAGGGTGTAGGGTGTAGGGTTTAGGGTTTAGGGTTTAGGGTCTAGGGCAACAAGAGAGCCCAGCGGCCGCCCGTGATGGGCTTGG